GCGCCGGAATTGTCCTTTAATAACTGCAATAGGAGGTTTTTTCTCTCCTTTTTCCTCCTATCACTGTACACTTATGAAGTACCAGTAACCATAGATTCATAAAGTTAAAACATTTTTAGTTTAAATTTATGGCTTAATTTCAAATTTCTTACAGTCACAAAACATAAAACTGTTCAAACCTGCAATGACAGATTTTTTATTAATTGTTTTGGGCCAATTGGGCAGAGCGGCTGTAAACACAACCCTGATCATTGCTAATTTACACATTACCGAAAGACATAACTCATTTGGATTTGTGTTACCTTACCAGTCCAATATTTACTCCCATTTTAGCTCTGTGGGGGGAAATTCATTAGCTCCTAACCTTTTCTGCGTGTCTTTTGGTGCTTGGCAGGTAGTGCACAATGGATGAATTGGCTAAAGGGAACTGTAGAGCTGGGTATAATTCTTGTCTACTTGTTATTACGGTATTACAAGCAACACCTTTTATATTGTATATATGTATGTATGTATGTAGATATATATAGTCATTTGAGCCATTGTAACTACAAAACAATTGATTACAGCTGCTTTAAAGAAAGGCGCTTTCAAAGAAACGTTCAAAGGCAGCCAACATTAAAAGCAAGATAACAAATATTATAAAGGGAAAGGTAGTGCCACAATATACATAAGAGAACTTTCAAACTTTTAATTAGCTGACAATTAGTAGCAAGGGCTTGTAGTCAAGCCTTTAAGCTAAGTCAAGTAATTACAATTAAGCACAAAATAAACCTTACCTGATAGTTGTTGTCTACAGGCTCTACAGTGGGTTGGCCCACCCTTTTCACCATCAGAGTGTAGCAGAAGGAAATAGTGAGGACAGGCAGCAGATATGCAGCAATAAACTGGTAGAGGATGAAAGCCCTCTCATGTGTCTTAGAGGGGAATCTCTCCATGCAGTACTGCCTCGGGCCGTACCAGTAACCCTCCTCTATACGCTGGTACATTAAAATCGGGGTGGACAGGATGAAGGAGCCTGGTTAGAACAAGGACAGTGTTAGCTGAAGTAGTTGAGATCATGCATGCTAATTCTCTTACCTATTTTATATGCAATTGGTCCAATTATTAATTAAGTCTGTGGTGAATTAATTGTAAAACATGAATATGAATATGATTAAATGTATTTAGAGGAAATGGTAGTCATTTTTTATTAAACGAGCAGGACATACCAATCCAAATGCAGATGCTGACGATCATGGCTACTTTCGGGGTGCGGTGGCGTAGAGATTTCAGAGGGTAGACTGTGACGTAACAGCGGTCACCACTCATAGCTGTCAGAGTGATACAGGTAGCTTGGACTGTCACCTGGGAAAGACAGTAAAGATATGTGATGCACATGTTTAAATCTCCTAATATTTTTATTTTTCTAATTAGCAAATATATATTCTGGGAAAAACATAATGCTACGCAGGTTCCACTTTTTAGCAACATAATGAGGAAATGTTTGTAATTCACATATCTGCCAAGTTGCAAAATGTTGGTAAGGATATTTCATTTGTTTTTCCAATATGTGCTCTTGCTATACAACATCTGACCACAGCTCAAGCAACAGTCCATTTGCCCTCTTTGGCTGCATGTCCCTCTGGAGGAAAAAATAAAGTAAGTAGCCAGTAATTGCTAAAGTTGGACCAAATTAATTAACTATATCATCCAAACTTTTATTCCTGATACAACTATGGTATGCTTAGTCATTCATAGCACTTGGTTAAGGGAAAGATTGCTGTTTTTAGTTTAATACTGTTAGAAAGGTCCATTGATATCACAATCTTTGTCCTAACCTTAACAAAAATGCTTTTGTTGCCTAAAATTGACCATATCCCGAATGGACTTGGGATGTGAATCCTGGGATGTTTCTTCCTTTGACTAGTGTGCAGGACCAAAATGTAGCACTTCCTACACTGGAGAAACATTGCCAGGGAACATAATGCAGGCAGTAATTACTTCCCCCTTAAAATGTATTTGACTTGACAGCTGTTTTCAATTTACACTTTTATTTTACATTATCTCTGAGTCACAAAGACAGACATAACTCATTCTCAACCTTATGTTCCTACTGAGGAGGAAGGAATATCCAGTAATGAGACAGTCAGAACAAAATACACAGAGACTTAGATCAGCAATGGTTTGTGCTATAAATTCAAAAAGATCCCATAGATATAGAGATATATTAGGTATTCAGTATCCCCTAATACAATGGTTCCCAACCATTTTCCTTTTCTATCACTGAATAAACTGACTGATTATTTGTTCTGTACTGGTATTGTTATGCATTGAATATAATAGTGATATATTTTATGTATATTTTATATTACATTCAATGTGTAACAATAACATGAGAGAACAACTAATAAACTGTACAATAAACCAAAGTAGTGAACACAATTAATGCAGGAAGTTTGCATAAAATTAGAGATTTGGATGAATTTTGAGCAGATTATTTCCTGTGAATATTAATAAGATGAGGTTGTTTTTCCTAATAGTTTTATACAATTCTCGGCCTGTATTATGTAATTTTATCATTTTCAACAATCATAAAAACTCAATAGGCTTATTTTTTCACAGATTCTGTGTTTTGTTCTCATTATTCTATTAGCTCTTTGGTTATTTGAACGTTTCAAATGCAGAATGAGACTGTTTATCCGAGACTTTAGGCCTACTGTGTATATGTTTCTTACACCCCTTCAAATCAAAAGGCCCTTGCCCCCCAGTGAGGTTTTGGCAATCTCTAGTGGGGGTTATTATTTATTTATCATTCATATATCATTATTTCCAGTGCTACAAACACAAACAATATGTTTTTTAAGATAAAAAATGCTTCCACAGTTTGTGCACAAGTTATCTGAGGAGTGTCTCTCAGAAAGCCTTAAACCTTTTCAAATGGCGTCCAGTGCATCCAGTCTTATAGTTAATCACTCCTCATTAATACGCAAAGAAGCTCAAGTAGCTTTGTTGTCAAAAAAGTCTTTACTTCAGATTCTCTCTCCAACTTCTGAGGTTTTTGCTAATGAGCTCTCATGCTTTTAAACCAAAGAGCATGTGGGAGGAGAAAGAGCGAGGGAGGAAAACATACAGAGCAACAGGAAGCAGAGAGGAGGCTGCATTTGCGATAAGTATTTTTGATTTGCATATGAATAAATCATTAACTTTAATAGGGTTCAATGACGCTTGATTCAATTAAACTAGGGCACATCAGAAGACTGCTAATTTAGGGCCAAATGTAGAATTCATGTTACAGTAGAAAGTTCAGGTACTTGCAGAGGTTGACTCACACAACACACTTTTTTCTTAAGAAATTCACAGACACATTTAATCTCCGGCTGAACACTTAATTTTACTTAATAAGTCTCACAGTTGTTATGTTCTGCAGTATGAAGCAGCCCTAAGTAGACAATCTCTATTGATGGTCTCTTTTCATACACATCTGTACAATGATTTTCAGTAGAGCAGTCCTCTTCACAAAAATTATATTTTCTTGTGGACCTCTGAGGGTCGTTCTGTGTTATATGCAAGTGAACTAATCCATATTCCTTTGAAATATGTGCTGCAGGGTGACAAATGAGGGGTCAAAAGTTCTCTCTATATGCTCTATCCTAAATAGGATCTAATTTTGTCTCTCTTATGTCTATGTATCTGTCTATTTTCTCTCTCCACCTCTTATCTGTGACTGTGAAGCCAGCAGCCATTACCCTCTAGAGGTTTGGAGCACCACATCAGTGTTTCAAAGGGTATGATGAGAGAGACACAAAGGGGTCATGATGAGTTCAGTGTTGAGGCCACTGAGGAAGTGGGTACCATAATCCCTCCTTTTTTTAAGATGTCTGATGCATTAAGAACACACTACCCTGTTATGTTCGATGTATAATGTCTATTCAGGAACGGGCTTGGATATTGACAAGAGAGTACATTTAGATCACCTGCATTTCTTTTCAGTGAGATGAGGAAAGACTGCATTATGTTTTATAACGGTTGGATTTTATGTTGCTCGTCTTTCCTAAAATAATAGGATGTGATTGTATCCTTAAAAGGCTTGGGTGAGAGAGCGCAAGATAATATAATAAAATAATTCATGTTTTGATTCAGCTTCCCGACAAGAAGAAACACCTCCACCTGTCCTAAAAAGCAATTTCAGTGTTAAACATTTTACGTCTAAATGATGAAAGTAACTTTAATAGAAATTTCACAGATAATGTTTAAAATCACTAAATATCAGTGAATATTGCACATGATCAACTTCTCACACTTCCATTCCATTCCATTCCATTCCACGCAATTCCATTAAATATTGATACAACTAACGTGTGTATGTATGTACATTTCCCCTACAGGCTGAAAAATGTGCCTGTTGTTTTTGCTTTTCATAAGCCCCTTAGTAGAAATTGATTTAAAAGTAGAGTCTGTTTGGCGGATGATGCTAGAGGATGAACCACCAGATTATTAAAAACAGAGTCTTTCCCCCCCGGTTGCATGAATATTAGAAAATATGTGTGGAGAAGTGAGCTTTGCAGCCAAGACTTGAATACTTAATGTTGTTTTGCAGAACACATAAACAGTCGGCATTGTCTCACACGGCTGGATAGACATAAGTCTAGCATTGCTGCTGGTTCTGAAATGTTGGGCATGGGTTGTCGCTGCACCAGTCTTGCTCTTTATCTCATCCCCTCTATTACCTTGGAATAAACAAAATTGGCTGTGTCATTTCAGTCTATATTATTTATTATTTTATAAATTGAGAATTATTAGCTGAACTGGGCTCACGAGGTGCATGGATATGAGTTTAATATTATAATCATTTAGTCACAGTTACTATTCTCCACTGTTAAAACATTGATGCACAATGACTTGTTGAGGACTCAAAGCAGCAAGACAGTTTTACTTGTACTTAAAACATATGTAACATTTCCACATTAAAATGTCTCTAAACATTATATCTATGTTATATATTTTGCTGAGTTGTATACTTATTATAGAACTCTGCTACTTGTCTGCTCACCCACACTCGCACCCGTGACCACATTACCCCCGCTTCCAGAACCTCCACTAGCTTTATGTTTTTATGTAAATTGTCTTTAAGTATTTAGAAAAGCACTTATAAATAAACCCAGAGAAATCTGTAATTTTATTCAGGTAACGTTGCGTTTCAGCTGTTGACTGTCAATGGAGTCGTACACCCTTTACGCATATATGAGCATTGTTGTCTGCTAGAAGCTGTAATAAATTAACCTTTTATCCAGTTTTAAGACACACTGGTATGATATACTTTTTAGATTTTGGTTGTTTTTAACAGGAGGAAGTTAAGTCAGAGAAAGAAGCAGAGTTAACATAAGCGGCAGATCGGCTCGCATGTCGGATGTCCTTTGTCTGCCAAACAGAGAATCTGATTTTTAATGTGAAACTATTGAAAAACTGTTTTTACCGGTTTTAATTACCAGGTTTGTTTGATTTGAAGTGGAGGAATCCACTGTGCATAATTTGGCTCTTGATAAAAACCTCCTGAACGATGAACACTGAAGGAATTCTAACCGGGGAGAAATTGACTGCAAAAACTCCCACAATCCCACGTTACTTCATGATGTCATCAGACAGTTATTTCTTTGATGTGAGAGACCCCCTAATGGCAGAAATTACATATTTTATGTTTCAGTAAAATTGTGGGCTACTTGTACTTGAGTATTTTCATTTTATTAGTTACTAGTTATTTGCAGAAGTTTTACTTGTGATGGAGTATTTTTTAATTGTTGTGGTACTTTTACTTCAAGGATCCAACATTGGCCCATAGTCTATGTCTTGGTAGACCTCAGACATTCCCCAGCTGTAAATCAATGCAGCTTTAAAGGTTTGACAGTTTGACATTTTGGGAAATAGGCTTATCCGCTTTCTTGTTGAGATTTATCAAGAAGATTGATACCACTATATGAACGCCAACAGCTGCTAGTAGAGAAACAGCTCGCCTGGCTCTCCCCAAACTTAATATAATCAGCCTACCAGTACTTCTAGACCTCACTAATTAACATGTTATATCTCTATCTATATAATATTGCTCTGTCCTTACACTGCTGAGCTAATAATAGTAGCTGAAGAGGAGAAAGTGAGTTGGAAATGTTGGAGCCAGCTTTTTAAGTAATTGCTGAGTCTTCATCAACAAGCCCTCGGTCATTCTCTGCTGTGGTACAATCAATTGTATAATGTGACATATGGCAGTAGTGGGGTAATCTGTCATGTAATGCTCGTTTAACAGAGACTAATGATGAGTGTAAACACAGCAGTTAACTTTACCTCCTGTCTCCCTTTGGCTGTTTTCATTGAACTGTGTAAATTCTGAGACAGTGCTCAAGCTTAACGCTCCATATTTCTTTGAAAAGAGCGGTTCTCCTGTCTCATTACAATTATTAAAAGCCTAATCAACACTCTCCCATGCACATGCAGTAATAAATGGTGGCCGGTCTCTCTTGATAGAAAAAGGTTCATTTTAACACACATGCAAGTTTGGATGATGACTGACATGTAAAATGGTTGAGCTGAAACAGACACAAAGAAGAAAGACAAAGCTATAAGACAGGCCTGCTTGACAGACAATTACTTTTTCCATTTTCTGAAGGAGAGGGCTCAGGCTCAGTCACCATCCTCAGAAGTCATTGTTTCACCAAAGACAAGCTCACACAGTACTGGTCTCCGTATTTAGATGAATAAACTAAATCATGTCTCTGTGCTTTCAATTAAAAATGCTTTCAGCCTCTCCTCCTGCCTGTGTTCGTAGCCTTCCTCTTAGACTAACATTTTACTCTTTTATGCTCAAATTAGCCATCTACGTCATTACGCATTAAAAAGACAACTTCTACTTTTTGTCAACCTGACAGATTGTTACCTCCTCCCTTCTAGCTTTATAATGAATGAGGTACATTTTTAACCCAACCTCCAAACAAAACAGAAAATTCATACAGTGTTTAGTTACAGTGCAGTCTTTTCAAGCTCCCTTTCAGGCTCTGGGTGCCAAATGAGCATATTTAGTCCAGTTATTAGTGCAGGGCTAACTATTAAGGGTATTTTAACTGGTTCTTTAGATAAGCAGCATGGAGTCGACAGGTTGTGGCCTTTGTTTATGTAATACCTAGCAACTTTGCTTCGTTTCTAATCAATGACAAAGGTTTGTAGTATTCAAAGCCCATGGTTTTAAAATAAATTCATTCTTTCTACATAATATGGCAACTACAGTGTGGTAAAGTTTAGCAACGGATCAAATTAATTCTGGTGATGAACCCAAATAAAATCACCAAACCCTGCATCGGTCTGCAAAGCATTTTAGCATATTTTAGTTCATTGTTTTGATTTAACTTTACAGTTTTGGTCCAGTTACAGCACTCTCCTAAACCCAGTTTCGAGATAGAACAGGCAGTTGTTTTCAGTGAAGAAGCTGATAAACACACTGAACGCAACCTGCTCAGCACCAAATGGCAGACTACCTGATGAAAAATAGTATTTAGCAACTAAAGAACCATTTCCCTCAGGAGTTGGTGAGATCAAAACGGGGCTAAAAGGAGAGTGAATATTGGACTTAAACTGGATTCATCCTAGCTCTAAGCTTTAGGGTTAGGGACACAACTCCAAATAAATG